TGAGGAACTCATCCAACGGGGTCACCTACGACAGTATGTTGCTGGTAGGGGACAGGGCGCCAGCACCACCCGTAATCAGGAAGACCAACAACCTATCAGGGAAATTCATACCATCTCTGGGGGCTTGCAGGGGGGAGGAGAATCCCTCTCTGCTATGAAGGCTCATACCAGAAAAGCGAGGCACCTCCAGGAATTGCGCCCATCTAAGGTACCCAAGCATGACAACAATGAGGTCATTTCCTTCTCAGACAAGGATTTGGAAGAAATTCAGCACTCCCATGACGACCCTCTGGTGCTCACCATGACCGTTGCCAACTTTCAAGTGCGAAGGATTCTTGTGAATAGTGGCAACTCTGTAGATATTTTGTTCATAGAGGCTTATGACAAGCTCAACTTGGGTAGAGAAATGTTGCAACCCATCAGGTCGCCCTTCATTGGGTTCTCAGGGAAAAAAGTATATCCCCTAGGGTCTATCACATTACCTGTCACAGCCGGAGTGACACCCCGAAGCATCACAGTCATGGTCAACTTTCTAGTGATAGATTGTCCTTCAGCCTACAACATTATCCTAGGGCGACCAGCTCTCAACAGTCTAAGAGCTGTGTCCTTCACTTACCATCTCATCCATCGTTTCCCAACCTTTAACGGAGTCAGAGAGGCCCGGGGAGACCAGGTAATAGCGAGGGAGTGCTATGCCTCCTCAATGAAGCCTGGAAAGTCACACGAAGCATTGCAGGTAGAGGTCCTAGATCCGCGGGATGATGCCAAGTTAGAAAAAGGAGAACCAGTAGAGGAGCTCAAACCAGTGGTCCCATATCAAAAAGCATACATCGAATCGTCCCTTTCTGAAGATTTGGTCTACCAGCTAAAAGACTTTTTAAAGCTCAACATGGATGTTTTTGCATGGTCATATGTAGACCTTGAGGGCATCGACCCAGAGGTGACACCGAACTCCTCAAATTTGACCCCTATTACAAGCCTATTCGCCAAAAGTTAAGAGGTGCTTCTATTGAAAGGGCCCAGGCAATGGACAAGGAGGTAGAAAAGTTGATAGAGAACGGAGCAGCTAGAGAAGTAGCCTATCCTGAGTGGCTCTCCAATGTGGTGATGGTAACTAAAGCTAATGGAAAGTGGCGCCTCTAAGTCGACTTTACTGAGCTCAACAAGGCGTGCCCAAAAGATAGCTACCCACTTCCACGAATTGACCTCCGCATTGACGCCACAATAGGACATGAATTGTTTTCCTTCTTGGATGCATATTCTGGGTATAACCAGATCAACATGAAGAGCAGCCTTTACCTCTACCTCAAGGGCAGCCTCTCTGAGCATGGCCTTCTCGCGGGTCTTTGCAAGCTCAGCCTCACTGAGCGTAGCCCTCTCACGGACCTTCGCAAGCTCAGTCTTGAGCATGACCGCTCTCCCATGGGCCGTCAAAAGCTCAGCCTCACTGAGCGTGACCCTCTCACAGACCTCAGCAAGCTCAACCTCGAGCCTGACCATTCTCCCATGAATCGCAAAAAGCTCAGCCCCAAGACCAGTCGCCCTCTTACGGGATGCCACAAGGTCAGCATCATAAATCCTGCCAGTACCTTTAAACTCGGTTATCCTCTCTTGAGCAGCACGAAGATCATTTTGCACAACTTCATAATCATGCTTTAGCTTGTGATAAAGAAGGGTCCTTGACAATAAACACATAGATGCTGATGAAGCCTGGTGAAAAACAGAAGGCAAAAGAAGGTCAAACACTTATGGAAGGGAGAAATGAGAGAAAATAAACTCTTACCTGAGCCCAGCCTTCAAGGAAAGAGCTAATAATTCCCTCCGTACCCAAGGCTCAAATCTCATCTACATCCTTCTTGCACAAAAACAACCCAAGCCGATCCTTGATGACCGATGCATTACCTAGCATGGAACAGATCTGAGAAGGTACTCCGCCAGGGTTCTCCATAGGAGGGGTGGCTGAACGGGGGGCAAAAGGTGTGGCCAGTAAACGAGACTCTATTATGGAAGGTCCAATTGAGAGAGTCTTCGATTGAGGAGATGCCTCTAGAGGAGCCACTTTATGGGAAGGTGCCCGAGGTACCACTTGAGGAGCTGGCAGAGAAGAGCGCGCCTCAGGTGGTAAGGTCACTTGGGAGGCACTGCGCGTCATCAACTTGGAAGTTTTCTTCGCCACCTTAGAAGGAGGAGAACTCCTATCAAAGAGGCGGGATACGAGCTTCTCCCTGTCTATAGCTGCAAAGCAAATAAAATGTTACCTAGATGGAAAACACCAAGTAAAAGAGAAAGTTGCAAAGGAACTAACTCACTTTTCCTTTTCGAAGAAGAGCCACCGGACCTCGGGGTAGCACCACCATCTTTGGACATAAGGACTCCAAAATTTTTTTCAGGATAAGCTCTCAACACCTCTAGTTTCCATTTTTGGCCCTAGGAAAGCACAGGGGGATTTGTAAGAGGAATGATGAGTAAAAAAAAAAAGAGAGAAAATGTGTGGCGTACCAAGTTTCTTAGGGGTACCCCATCCTCTTGGTACCAAAGCCCTATCTGCCTCTATAACCCACTCTCCATCGATAAATATAAAGCAAGATTTTCAACTATGATAGTTGGATCGCAGTCCGGTGATCAACTTGTCTTTTGTGGTAAAATAATACCAGCCCCGATTGGGAGCAGGGGTCTCGCTCAAAGTATAAGCACCATGAAATTCCTTAGGTGAGGCATCCTCATGATGCACTTTTCTCCACAACACCAGGAAGCTCAACAAAACCTTTCAACCGTTGGGTGACAGTCGCCTCGGGGTGAGTGAAAAATAATGGAGAATGCGGCAAATAGAATGAGACGTGGGAAACCTGAGTCTAGCGTCAATCATCTCTTCATAAACGACAATATCACCTGACGAGTCATCAGAAGAAGGCTCACCCACCTCAGCTCAGCGACACAGCACAGTCGGAGGAATATAATAAACAGAAATAATCCTCAAGAGCTCATCATCAGTATTGAGAATGCTATAAAGGGTAATCACCTTGGATCCATCATCAATTATTTTGTTTTTGTGTTTTTTCTTATGGGAACGTGAGGAGCTACCTGAACCACCGTCAGGGAGGTCTTGAGTAATCTGACTTTGAGGAAATCCACCAAAAGGAACCATCCTGTGCGTTCCAGCCGCACAGCCAGGCAGCATGCGCACCCAGGCAGCTCGCTCAGATCAGTGCCCTCCATGCCCAGCTCACCATGCTCACCCATATGGGCACCCAGCACTCTCTTCTGCTCGCTTTCCACATGGGCTGCACACCTCCCTGTGCGATCAATAAAGGCGCCCAGCGCCTGGACAGCAGCGGCGCTCAACGCCTGCGACGTCCCAAACATCTCCACGCCGGCGTCTACCTCATCCTCCATCTCTCCTTGGATCACTGCAGCAACCCTATGATGATTACTTCCTTCATTCGCCATGGATTCCTAACACAATTCCTTGGAGGATTCTTGGAGATAAAAACCCCTTTTTCACTTTCTCAAGTTTCAATGGAATGAGTGAAGTGGAGATAGCTGCTATTTATACATAGGGTTTTTTGAAAACAAGGAAAAGGCACAAAGGCTCCATTCAAAACCAAGGGCTTTTCTGAAAAAAAAAAATAGGATTTAAAAGGGAGTGTACGTTATTTTGACTGTAAATTTTGATCCATAACTCCAAATGGGGCCCATAATATGTCAAATCGAAGCTCTCGAAGAGCTCTACAAAAGTTATTGGCAACGGCGATGAACGATGACAAAAAAGACCAAAAAGGGCCTAGAAGTATAGGTTTTGGCCTCCCAAAGTTTTTCCAATTTTGCCGTTCAGCCAAAATTTCAAACTCAACCAAATGCCCACCTTTCTAAGTTCCTTGAACGCAGGGTATTGAGGGGCAAGCTTGGTCCGATCTAAAGGCCTAATTCCAAGAGATCCAACTAATCAAGCCCAAAGGAGTCTACACCCAGATAACCTTATCAAGACCAAGGAGCTACATCAGCAGGGGAGCATGCACGGTCATCTAAGAGCCCAAGGGAGCACCCAAGAGCCTCACCCTCATCACCAAGGGAGCACCCAGGAGCCTTACCCTCGCAGCTCGGAGATAATCAACCTCCCTCATCCTTGATCAAATCCTTGGGAGAGCACACCAACCGTCACACCTAGCCTATTGAGAAGATAATAGGTCGCCTCCACCGGATCAGCTACCTAATTACTATCAAACGGTCCTAAGCCATAATGACGGTCAGACTAGCAATTCAATTACTATACCAAGCTACTATAAAATGTAAGCCCCTCCAACACTTGGGGGGATCAGACTTATTCGAGCGTAACTTTCTCTCTTCTCTCAAAGCTTGCGACCTTCTACTCCTAACACATCGGAGTTAATAAAATCAGTGGCAAACTTTGCCATTCAAAGTGGACGTGGCCACGGCCAAACCACTATAAACTTTGTCTTCTCTCTCCCTCTACTTTACTTAATTTTATATTGTTTAATTGACTAGTGGTATGTAAACCGATTTTGTGCATCATCATATGGAATCACAAAGCCTTGAGATTATAGGATCTAGAGTGAAGACATTTTCCCTAGCTATCTTGAAGGTTTTGATTCACCCTGACAACTTGTTTTCAGTTTAGATAATTATGAAATTTACCAGACAAGAATTTCTTTCTGTGAAGTGAAACATCAATTAGAAGCTGCCATTGTTCATAATTGTTGGTATGTATGGTGTCTTGTTTGAGTTCTCTTACTGTTGTGCTCTTTTTTCACTTGGGTTGAACTCGAGACCCCTATTGGCAGGTGTTTTGATCACCATTCATTCAGTTAAATTCTATTCATACTCTCTCATTTGGTTCATGTGTGTTCCGTTTTGTTCTTAGCCTAGGTAAGCAGTGGTGGATGTGTGAAGTTGTTTCTGGAAGCTTCTAAAATCTCAACTTATTTCTCTAATACATTGTCTCCACTCCAGCATGCTAGTAGTTGCTACTTCTGGCAGGGGATATGTCCTTGGGAGCGGCAATGCCGTTGATTATGTGGGGCTGTGCTGGTACTATGATGGTTGCAGCATCTGCTAACTCCTTAAATCAGGTTTGTACTTGAGCAATATTCATTTGATTTTTGCAGAAGCTGTTGTGGAGTTTTTTTTTTTTTTGAATATTGAGCATGGCCTGTACTTATTTGATTATTTTTGAGTTTGTGGCATTGGATTGGTTTCATACTGGTCATCACATTTTGTGCGGTAGGTGTTTGAAATAAATAATGATGCTAAGATGAAGAGAACCAAACAAAGACCAGTACCTTCAGGACGACTTACTGTACCTCATGCAGTCACCTGGGCATCTTCCATTGGTCTTTACTGGCAGGCAAGGTGACCAAATATTTTCACTTATTTTTTTGTCAGGTATTTAAATATATAAGAGGTCGAGGGACTAATGTTTCAACTTCCACGGCAAGGTTTGTGCAGGCTAATTTGTTGGCAGCTGGGCTTGCAGCTTCTAATCTTGTTCTCTATGCATTTGTATACACTCCACTGAAGCAGATACATCCAGTAAATGCTTGGGTTGGGGCTACTGTTGGTGCTATTCCACCCCTTCTTGGGTAAATTATTGTTATACTTTTTTCCCCTCTATTTTTTTTGTAAGAAACTAAATTACCTTTCTTGCTTTAACTACTCATCTGCCATGGTTTTTTCGTGGATATAGTTTTCTCATTAATGTATTTGGTTATACATGATTTCTCAGCATTTTCAGCTGTCATTTGCAGTTTATTTGTCATTTCAGATTTTCCTTTCGCAAGTGAAATGTGTCCTTGTGTTTTGTGAAGATACAGATTGATGTTTTTGTATTCTGGTTTGGGAATTTCACACCTTTGGTTGGCAGATCTTTGCCTGAATGCTTTTATACACACTTTATAGAGCTGGTTTACTTTAGAGTTGTTATTGATAGGCGTGAAAGCATGTTGTAATTTCATTTTGATTGCTGGCCACTAAAGAAATTCAAGGTTGAAACTATTTGCCCGTGGAATGTGATTATATGAGTACTTAAATTTTTATATGGTTTGAAGGATTTCATTGGTCACACAATATGCTTAAAAAGATATGATTTATCTATGTTACCCATTTGCAATTTTTTTATGACAACATTTTCCAAAAAAATGTTGCTGTCATTAAAACCTTCGGACTTCTCACTGAGTTTCACAGCTCTTGTGGTTTCTTCTATAAGCCTCTCCTAATGGAATCTTGCTTTGTGTGTTATTACTGATTGCATTGTTAATATTAGTAAGCATTTCAAAGCAACTTTTCCTCTTCCCCACCCCCCTCTTACAAGAAAAATAATATAAAAGTCCTTAATGAATTGACCTTTAGATGTTTGCCCAGCAAAGCTACTTTTTCATTCTATGAATATGTATAGACGCTTTTGATCGACACCTAATATTCTTCAGTGGGATTGAATAACCTGGATCAATTGTTGCTTTGAGGTTCCTAACCGACTATTTTAGTAGTTGTTAATACTCTTTTGTTTATTTCTTTATGTTTGGCCTTTATAGGTGGGCTGCAGCCTCTGGTCATGTTTCACTCAGTGGAATGATTATCCCAGCTGCTCTATAATTTTGGCAAATACCACATTTTATGGCCTTGCTTACGTGTGCCTCAATGATTATGCAGATGGAGGGTACATGCTATGCTATTTTTAAAGTCTTGATGTATAAGAATTCATCTGTCATTGCCCTTGACTGGAAAAACTGCACATGCAACATTCGGGAGTTCAATTTGGAGATTCCAAAAAAGTGGGGAGAGCAGTTTAGCTTGAGTATCGACGCTGAGTTACAAATTACAATTTGCCATTGAATTTGGAGCTGGGATTTTAGGATTCTATAATAACATTTCACAGTTTACATGGTCACTTTAAGCATCAAGCATGGGGTCACGGTTATTGGAATCTTCAAAGCAGGTCCCTTTGTTTCTGTCTCCTAGTCATTTCTTTCTGATGTTGTTTTGATTCAGGTTTAGGATGTTTTCTCTCACTGACTCATCTGGTCAAAGAACAGCCTTGGTGGCGTTGAGGAACTGCTTATATCTGCTTCCATTGGGGTACCTGGCCTATGATTGTGAGTTATTCCCAGAACTTCAATATATTATGGTGGGGTTTTCTTGTTATTCTGTTATTCATTTTTTGTTACAAGTTTCATTTACACTGGTGATATGATTGCTAGTTACTACCACTTTTTGACAGTGCAACCACAACTGGTGAGTAAAATATCACTATCACTGTTAAGTCTCCTCAAGCCTCCTATGCCCCAACTCCAACAGACACTGTTTGTGGGATCTAATTTTGTCAATGCCAGACGAAACCCAGTGAATTGTATTAATATATGTAGCTCGTTTCCTCCATGAAACTTCTGAACAAATGCTGCAAAAAATGGTTGGCCTCCATTGATGTGGCAAAACCAAGCTTTTACCCCTCTTATTTGGTGGTCAATGAATGATTCAAATTCAATGGAGGGGAAAATTTGAAGTTTTGCGGGCATCCAGAAGGTTTTTGGTCGGGTCTAGTCAGCCCTCCACCCTCTATATATTTCACTTTCAACAAAAAAGAGTTTTGTGTGTATCATAACTCATGACTTCACTGCTGACTTAAAATAGATTAATCTTGTTCCCTCCATGTGAGCAGGCTTCACTGTCCTATGATTATGATTAGAAATTTGAAATTAATGAAGTAGCAAACAACAATGACCATGCAGAGTTGGGACATCGATGATCAGTCTTGGTCACTGCTGTGACAGAGGATGCGATGATGGTGTGACATGAACAATTTATAAGGAATTCAGGAGTAAAATCATGAAAGATGAATGGAGAAGGGACTTTTTTTTTTCTTTGGGGTGGGGAGGTCACTGATCCATGGAACCTTGATGGAAGGGCACATTATCTTTAAATTTCAATTTCTCTGGCAGGATCAGTGTTGGCTTTGGTAATCATGCCTCCCTTTATTTATTAGTCGTTTGTAAGTATAGGTAATATATACTTGAAATATGAGTAAATGATGCCAATGGAGCCGGTTATATTGCTTTTAAAGGACTTCTTCGGTTAGAAAAAAGGTGCTGGTGCACTCTATTATATATAAACCATATATTTTAGTAGCTTACCCAAACCTCTTTCTTTCTGACTTAGAAGTTCAGCCATGATTTCAGTGGGAGGACTTAATCATCTTAAGTTTGGATGAGGAGTGCTTGCATTAGCACTGATCAGATCTGTAGATTTTTATATTGGCAGGATTGTTGTCACATAAATTGATGAGTGTTTTTTTAGATCTTTTAGCCCAAAAAGTGGCTTTATTCAACAATATACTGTACCCCTCCCCTCACTGCCCTTTCTTGCCCTTCTCCAGCTTTCCTTTGTTGGAAATATCCATTGCCTAAAGTGCAACTGCAAGCAACCGTAGCATGAATGTGTGATTTCCGTTTAAAATGACTTGGTGGTTATTTATTATGGAGAATTCATCCCATTGCACTGCTTAATTATCAAATGGTGTCTGCAGAGGCCAGAGGGCATTACTTCCAGATGGGTCTGTCTTGAATCAACACTACCTGCTCTTGAAATCAGTGCTACAGCTATCATTTTACTTAAACCGCACATCAAAGAATGCCAGGAGAATGTTCCATGCCAGCCTTCTCTATCTTCTGGTGTTTATGTTTGGGCTTCTGTGTCATCGCGAATGTGATAGCCAAGAGTGCTTAGCAGTGGAGAATTCTGAGAGGATTCTTGACATTTCATCTTACCCGGATACTTTACTGACACAAACTGAAATTATCAACCATCAGAATAAAGTTAACAGCCTCTGCTGTTGGTAGCATATGCATCAGTTGCACCATTCCCTTTCTTTCCTGCCCCTTCATATGCTACCTCATGAGTTTTGACTTTAGACATTTATGTAACCTTTTTGTTTACATGTTTTTTCAAATAAAAGATTACAATATAATGGCCATTCTGCAATAATATTTGCAACATCTTCATTTTTTTTTACCCGTTTTGAGGAGTAATGGGCAATCTTTTGTTCATGGTGTAATAAGTAAGGTTGTGTTCATTGATGTTTTATTTTGCTTGAATTAGTTGTATGTTACAAGGTAAATTAATCTAGTACTATTCGAGAAGAATATGGGTTACATAGCTGCTGAAATGTAGTAATGATTGCTGATTGATTCAGGTTTCGTATGCCCATCTGACGAGAGATTCAGATCAAATGCAGTGTTGCTTACGATTTGGTGATGATATCTCGACGACTGGGGATTAACCTGGATATATTTCGATTGAGTTTTGCGGCACTTTGGAATTTATATGTACTGTATATCGATACCGTTTCGGAAAGCGTCGAGTCGGATATGACCCAATCAACTCGTATCGTTACCGGCTGATGATCGACAAGAGCCGGGTTTAGTAGGCTCTTAACCGAAAATCAAGCAGGATGGTGGTGACCATGGCAGAGACTGTTCAAGCTTCATCTGTTTTCCGGCCAGTTCCCGCGTAGAAAGACCCTTTTGATGCGCTGAAATTCTGCAGAATGGGGCTTCTTCAGAGTCATCGTAGGAAACCAGTAGTTCTCGATTATCAAGACAATTTTCTACATTCATGTGTTCTTCCTTTGGGATTTGCTATAATGTCGAAAAAAATTTGGTACTATAACCCCAGTTAGTTATAGCTATGAAATAATTTTTTCGTACTATAACCCCGAGTTATTTTTAATTATGATCAAGAATGATAATTTTTGACACGACACTTAAATAAGATTCGAAAATTAATAGGTTATGATTAATCATTTCTCAACACAAATTCGTAAATGATACAACATGTAAACTCGAATAATAAATACGTCAAATTAATGTCAAACACGAATAACCCTAAATTGACACGGTTAACACTTTTAACTGTTAGGGTCATTTCGTTACTCATTTTCTTAGCGTTGGAAATACGGAAAATTGGAAAACAAATGGGGAGGATTTGCAAATACCAAGAATTGAGGGGCACATAGGATAAATAAACAAACACCCCCGATCTTTGATATTCCTTTGTTCTTAGCTAGAGAGAGAGGGAGACGGAGACGGAGATGGCGGTGAGACGGAGAGCAGTGGCAACATTACCAACGTTGATGCGAGCCCTAAGAAAGGGTGTTAGTCCAAACCCAAAGCCACAGAACCAACCTTTACCATCATTGCGACGAGCTTTCTCTCTCTACGACCAGATCAATCTCATCGACAACGTCCCCGAGGACCAATTACGCTTTCAAAAGTACCCGAATTTTATTTCCTTTGTGTTGTTTTCTTCATTTCTATACAATTTTTTGTACCTATAAATGACAACATTCTTGAAAATCGTTTGATATTCTCTTAAATTCGGTTCATTTCTTGCCGTATGCAGTATTTTTAAATTGATTTTGAGTTTAAGAACTTGTTCATTTTAGCATATTATTGGTAATTCATGGCCATACCGTTTAATTGTTGATTTACTTGTTAAACACTATCTAATAAATTCATTCATATTTCCTCATAATGTCGTATTTTGTCATTTTTTTTGAATATTTATAAGGTCGTTGTTTGTCTTAATTTGTTTAAATTGTCAAATTTATGATCAATTGTAGATATCCCGAAAAACACACACACACACACACACACACAAAACCCACTCTCGCTTTCTGAAATTGTTGGTAGCCATTGGCTGGCTGAATGTGAAATAATTAATGTTATCGATCCTTTCATATTAAGTCCATTTATATTAAAAATTGGATTGTAGTAAACAACACAATCTGATTTTGGTATCGGATTTTTCAAATTTAAGTTGAGTAATATGAAAAACCAGGGGTTTGATCCCTCCAATACTTTTTTTTAGGAGACTATCCACCATTAATGAGTGAGGAACCTCTTGTATACGATAAATCCCCACTTGAATGCATCGTGGGTAAATCGACAAGATGGGAATTAGAGAAAAAATGAATTGGAGGGAATCTCATTCTGAAAATTAGTGCGAGACTTAATTTTGACTTGTGCATCGTGTTCACGGCTGCTTTCAAACCAGCTATATGTGACTGACGCTATGCCGTTCTTTTTCTGTTTGGATGTGTGTTATAGGTTTACGGATACAGGGTTCATGGTTAATGGGGTTCATTATGAAGGTAGCCTTCTTTGTGTTGGAAACCTGCTAATGTCTTGGAGCCCCAAAACATTTTCGGAGATCACTGCAGATAGGTACATATAGCTGTTAAACATGGTTATGTGTCTTAATTCTTGTTTCAGTGTAAAGTGAAATTGTCTGTTGCACATATGAACTTAAGATAGATTGATTGCACGCACTTAATCTTTTATTTGAATTTTTGAACTTAGCCAATTGTTCTCCAAATATTTGGAACAAGTTGTTGTTGAATTGAGTTGAGCCATTACTTGCTTATATATTTTTTTTCCTTAAGTTGGATAGTTTAGACTCTTGGTATTTGATGGATATGTCAGCATGTTGGCAGGACTATTGAGCCCCTCTTTAAAACTGGTTTTTGATCGTTAAGCATTTTCAACTCATAGTGGTGAGAAAGTTTTATCAATATTTTAAGATAGTGGCTACGGTACTGGTTTTAATTTATAACCATTACTTCGGCTTCCTCAGTTACTTAGCATTGCCACAAACTATTTATATCATGCAATCTATCTGTATTGCATCCTCTAATTATGTTTTGCTTTCATTAAGGGTGCGTAAATTTTGCATCATCCTCTTCACAACGTGGGGATGGTCAGCATTACACAACATGGTCCTAGTTGTCAGCTTAGGGTTCAAGGACAAGATTATCAGAAAATAGCAGATAGGCAAATTTAAATCATCGTGGTTTTGGCTTTTTAGACCTAAAATTTGTAAAATGAGTTTTGATTTTTAAGTTCATTTTTATATTTTGGATGTTATTGCTTTCCTCATGGTAATAACTTGGAAAGAAATTTTGGAGGGAATGTCAATATATTTTGGAAAAGGTTTAGTTTAAAAAAAATTTAGGTTTTTACCAGACCAATCACAGGTCTTTACAAGCTCCTGAGCTAGTGTCCTGAGGATTCCCCATGTGTCTTTTAAGTCCGAATCAGAGAATCTCAAATATCATTTCTTCATTGGCGATTTCTTTTTGTGTTGTGTCTGAATAGTCCACCATATGTTTATTTGTTAGCAATTAAGTGTTTTCTTGTGAATTCTCTGTTGGCTTGAATAGAGAAACAATTTTTACTGTTAGAGTCTCTTATTCATGTATCTGAGAAGTCATAGTATTTGTGCTTCCTTGCAGCTTATCTCTATTCCAAATTGTGCGGCCTATTCCAGGTGAAAATTCAAATACATATGTTTGATGAAGGATGTGATACTAAGATATCAAAAAGCTCAAATCCAGTATTTTACATTTTACCCAGCTTCTCATAGATGCAATCCATTTACCATGGCTTTTCTCTTGTAGTTTTTAAATTTCACTTGGCAAAAGCCCGATACATGAAACCACCTGTTGCTTGCCCTTTTAATCAAATTGGGTTCATGTATTTTAGCTTTACATATTTGTATCTGGGTCAAAAGTAAATTTTGGAGGCTGCATTTTTTCCGGCCTATGATTATCAATAGGATTCATATTTCAGTCCAGCAAGTAGGTTGGTCTTGTTCCTTAAACTGAGGGAGCATCTCCTTGCTTTTTTCCTAAAATATTAGATTATTTGAGTGAGTTGTTTCTTTGACGGCCAAGCAGCCAGTAGGGTGGTGTGTCTGTGGATATAATTATAGAAGAGGCAACTGCATTTCGGAATATGTCAACATAGAGTAGCCGGTGGTTGTGCAGCAATGCTAGAGTGAACTTCTGGGCCTGCTTCTGTTTGGATTACTGTCCCCAAGTTTCCGATATGTGCTGTGGACAGTCTATTCTAGCCACATTTGGCATGTGCTTTTTGGCTTAAGTGAAGTAATTCTTGGTGGTGTATTAGGCCTTCCAAATTCTGGTATGATAATAAGGTGCTGCTTTCTAGAAGGAAATTGTACATGACTAGAAGGAAATTGTACAGATTGTTGGATCAATGGGATGCAAATCCTCCCAATGAGGAGCCTTGGGATTCACTCTCCACAATTGCTAGTATATCTTGGAGCTGAGCCTTAATGACTGGCCCGTTGAAGCACATTGCACAAAGGCTGACCTGCTGCCCTGTACCAGTTGAAATGGATATAACAGAGAAAATAGATACCTATCTATTCTCAACTGGAATGGAGAATAGGGATTCATGCTGATCCTCTTCTCCTGGGATTGGTTCAGAGAAGAATGATTGGCATAGACAGCATTGGAAGTCATTAAAATGTAATTTATGTCCTCAATGTTAAACAAGACCTCATTATCAACAAAATCAATGTCTTCAAAGGGTTATACTTGTCACATTGACCCATTAGTTGTTTTTCCCCCCTTTTTGACGTAATTTGTAAACCTCTGTGATACATTGTAGAAGATATCAGTTTATCGCAACAAAAATAAGTCTGCATTATTGTATTTGCATTTCAAACTAAGACATTCACTTTTGACATCTCAGAAATCTTAGTTCTTGGCTGTGGGAGATACATCCAACAAGTAGATCCTGAGCTCCAACGCTTCATTCGGTCTACTGGCATGAAATTAGAAACAGTTGACTCGGTATTTATCGGAAACAATTTCTTTTTGTACTTTATTTGCAATAATTGTTAGAATTGCGTTTCACTATTGGTGACCTTATAATCTGAGCTTATTGTGAAATTGAACAATCCATATGGGCATTTGTCATCGAATTTTCATCCAAGAAGCCAAACATAATACATAGCTTCGATGACAACTGATGTCATATAATGAATTGGAGCAAGAAGTCGTTTCAATTTATTGTGAAAATATCAAACCATACTTGTAGACTCTTGTGTTCAATGATGTTGAATCAGTTCTAAGGTCCAAATTGTTATAAGTGGAAGTAATATTGCTACTTGTCTGAAAGAGATATATGCAGGGAAATTTCAAGGGGGTATTTAGTAACTAACCCTAGTAAAAATTACTAAAGTATTCCTTAACTCATCTCAACAAATCTTTGTACCAACATTTTTGTGGTCAGCTGCAAGAATCTTGTGTCGCTATTGTGCTCTATTTAGGGAAAAATTGCTAAAGGATTCCTTTTCTTTTTTACTGCAGAGAAATGCTGCGTCAACTTACAACATATTAAATGAAGAAGGCAGGATTGTGGCAGCTGCACTTCTCCCATATGGAGTGTCTTCTTGAAGCCTAACCTGACATGCAGATTCTTGTTTGCTTGATGTTTGCTTCCGAGCTCGGGTTTTTGATTGTTCCTTTTTAAGATGACCCTCAAAAGAACTTCTTCATCCTCTGTTTAGAACTGTAACAGACTTTTCACTGAGTTTTGTCCAATTCTTTTTTTGTGAATACATGTTTTATGCCAGAGGCTGTGTAGCTTGTTAAGAACCTGCAGACATTTTCAGCTGCACTGGGGAATCTTTGGAATACCAATATCAATGGAGATGCCATGCAGGCGGGTTAATTTGGAGCAAGTTTCTTGGAAGTGTTTTCTGTATACAAATGATTTTATCAGTGTTCAAGCTTGAGAATCAGTCTCTTAAAAATGGGATAAGCTTGTCTATTGCTCACTTCTCCTGAATCTTGCAATAAGCTGAAGGTGTTCATGATTTAAATTTCTTTTCTGTTTTTATGAAAAGCAAAATAAATTAGTGATTGAATATTAAAATTTTTTATGTTTCAATGTGTCTCGATGTGTTTTGATTAATGATTCAGAATTTTTATAAAAAAAAAAATTGTTTTCATCTTGTTTTTGCAATATTTCAGTATATTAAAATTGAAATATTTGGCCCCCCCTTCCAGCAAAAATAAATAAATATTTGTCCCTTTCTCTCGTTGATAATTTTTTTTTTTTGATAAATCTAATATATGCAAGTTTGACTAAAGATAATTATCAAAATTATATAATAAATTATTAAACAAATTGATTATCTCATAAAATTAGCAGAAAATCCAAAATTATCTAACAAAATGAAACAAACCAAGAAAATTGTTAAAAAATGAAAAAATGTCCGTGTAAGTAGGGATGTCAATTTTTTCCGTTAACACGAATCCGAATCGAATTGAATTCGACAGGAACTCGAAAATAATCTGATTAGTTGACACGAGTAATAAGTGGGTCAAATTAAGGTTCGACACGAATGACACAATTAATGGGTACTGTAGATAAAAAATAATTATTTAACGAATATTATAGATAGAAAATAAGAATTTTATAAATTTTTAAATAGTATTATATTAGTTGTTATAAAATTAAATAATTTTTTATTAACATTAATATTGACACAAATTCGACACTTACTGAAAGTGATACAATACGAAAATAATACGATCGAAAATGACAAGACACGAAAATGATACGACACGACATGATACGATACGGTCGACACTCCCAAGCGTAAGAACTAAATTAGAAGTAAAATTTGAGCTAAATTAGAATTTTAATACTAGAATTTTAATTTATTTACTTTTTTTTTGAACTGGAAAAAAAAAAAAAAAGGCAGGGTTTTCGGATTCTAATTCTCAGTAACATCACAAAATCAAGAATGGCAGTGAGAGAAAAAGAAGATATTTGAAACCCTAAACCCCACCGACTCCCTCTCTCTCTCTCTCTCTCACACACACACACAAAAATTGATCCATTCCACACTCAGGACTAATGGCGTCCCTTGTTCTCTCGGGAAATGGAATTCTTGTCTCAACAAAGAAGTTTCGTTCTGGAATCCCTGCTCGAAAAAGCGTCGTTGTAAGTACTCTCTCTCTATTCTCAATGTGTATACATGTCTCGTTGGATGACTGAAAATCGAATGAAAATGTGCATATTTGTTTGCATATGTATGTGTTTATGGACAGATAATGGTGTTTAAACGTTACGTTTCAGTCTCGTGCTTAATTACTTTTTGGGGCAAGTAGTTTAAATCACACATTCGCGGACACGAATAATGGTGTTTTTTTTAAGGTTATTGGCTTGTAATTCTGTTAGCTTTATTGATACGGGGTAATGGACTGTTGTGTTGTAGAGATGTAATGTTGCGGAGCCATTGAAGTTTAAGGAAAATGGACACATACCAACAGTTAGTGCTGAACAGGCGACATTCCCAAGTTTCTTAGCTTTGAATCAAACAGAAAGATATGTAATTCAACAGAATGATACCCGGCTTCGGATATTTTCAGGCACAGCTAATCCTGCACTTTCTCAGGTGGTTTTTTGGGGGGATATTCTTGTCTTGCAATTGAATACACTTATGCACGCTATGTGCACATTCTTTTTGCCTTGATATTTTAGTTCTGTCTTGGCATGTTCCTTCAAGGAATTAATAAATACAAAAAGAAAAAGGAATATGGATATTAATTGAAACAAAAGCCGAAAAGCAACAAGAAAGTGATATGTGCACATTTTTGAAGGATTTAGAAAACAAAAGAAAATAGAATGAGGGATAGAAAACTCACTTTGAGAGAGGTAAAAACCTTCATTAGTTCACTTTGAGGGGAATCGGACTTCCAAAACCTTCACAAAGAAATTCAACATACCATTTTCATTGATTGATGGGCCTTCAAATTCAAAATGATAAAAACTATCCTTATAAATAACCTAACCCATTTTTCCATTATCTAACTAACCACCTAAAAAATCCCGTACATACCAAACTACCATTGTTGTCAAATCGTGTATCGGAAGGCGTATCGTTTTTTAAAAATAGTGTATCGTAAGATACGCTCAATTTTAATTTTTAAATAATTATTAATAAAATATATGTATATATCTTTATAAAAAAGTCATAGACTCATAATAATATAATATTTCATTAATATTTTACCAATTATTCAAGTTTTTAACATAGTTTAGTAATATCAAAATGCAAAAACCTCTAATTCAAACTTCTAATATCAACTGTTTGAACAATTTTGATATTAATCGGGAATTTTGAATTCAATTGAACAACATTAACATTAGACGTTATTTATTTTTTTTAAACTATAACCACTGAAACGACGTTGTTTCACTAGCTAGTGATTTAAAAATAAGTCCTAGGTTAATACGATGTCATTTCAACCCCAAAAAATAAAAAAATAAAAATAAAGAATCGTCATGTATCGGGCGTATCGTATCGTGTATCGTACGATATGGTACAAAAACAATACAAAAACACGATACGTATCGTTTTTCAGGTGTATCATGACATATCGTACGATACTATTAACTATGCAAACCACTAAGCCACTACTACATAACCTCCAATTGACCAACTACCTCTCTTTAATATTGCATAAAATAAATATATAAAAAACAACAGAATGGCTGTTTTCTTGACAGAGAATGGACAATAGAAAAACCACATATGGATTGTATGACCACTTGCATCTATCTGGTTTTGAATATATTATTAGAAGGCGTTATATTTTAATGTGCTTAGTTGACTAATCTAAGCGATGACAATGCTAGAGGGTAGGTACTTCTCTGCTAATTTTGGAATAATTCATCGTGCAAAAGAAAAAGGAGCAGTGGCAATTTTGGTGGTGCTAGGGGTCTGTGTGTATTTTCGTTTGTAGGGGTGGATGATTGGTGGGGATGCTGGGGATTAGTGGCTGAACAATGAAAGGGTGACCAACAGTGAGAATCTGAAATCCACTAGACTCAAGAAGAAATTGTGAATGAGAGAGAGGAGGTAAGTATACCTAGGTCCTTTGACAGCTATGGTTCTTAGGCATTGACACGAGTGCATTGAACATATGATACAACCGAAAAATAAGACACTCTGCTGGCAGATTTATAGACGATCCCCATATTAGCCAAATCAATACTCTTTTTTGATTTTGGAATGGTGTTTATTATCTGGTATTGACAATTATAGATGCCGGATGCTATTCAAATCTTGACCCAAATTTAAATTTGAATAAAAATAAGGTAAAAACAAGTTTCATTCCTTTATTCAAACTCATACTAAATGAAGGGAAACTCAAATTTTTTACTCAAATATATTTGAGATGATCCTCTTTTAAATTTGAGTTTTGCATTGAAGTATTTTGTATCAAATCAAGCTTTTTACTCAAAAATTGCCTCAAATTTGTGACAAGGCTGGATGTTAGAGATGGTCTTAAACAACTAAGTATTCTATTTCTATATTCATTTAAGAGTATTGGTTGTATTACACTCGAGGACTTTATTTTTGAAAAGGTTTGCCCTTTCCTGATGGATCTTGGTTGTCTTTGTCTGGAATCTGAACCTTAAAAAAGAACTTCAAAAGAAAAACATGATCTACTGACAAATGTTGTCTGGTCAAATGATAATGCAACGCATGACCTATCAGTAGTAGTTTCGGATTGAAAATCTTTGGGGCGTTAACATAAATGGTGCAGCAAGGAAAGCCAGAACGTGCTTAAATTCAACCAGTGGGAGTTGATGGGAAGAGATTGGTTCACTGAAATGTCATGCAAACTAATCAGAGATGCTTAAATGGCAGTACATCCTCTCTCTCTCTCTATATATATATTTTATTTTTTTTGGGGGGGGGGTTAGGAAATAAAATTTTTCATTTTTCTCAATATGTTAATGATGATAGGTTGCTCATTGATTTCTAAGTCTGGAATGTCATTGCTTTCTTTCACTCTAATCCTTCAATTTGTAAAGTACAATGTGACATCCAATTTCAGTACTGTGCATTTTTTTATTAATGTTCTTCCATTTTTCATATCTTAATTTTTTTTTTAGGTTTTTAAGTTTTATTTCACTATTCTATTATTACCTTGAATTTTCATTTAGTAATTCAGTTATGAAATGTTTGCTAATGAATCTTATTATTGGATAGGAAATTGCCTGCTACATGGGTCTGGAGCTTGGACAGATCAAGATAAAGCGTTTTTCTGACGGCGAAATTTACGTTCAATTGCAAGAGAGTGTCAGAGGTTGTGATGTATATCTTGTGCAACCTACCTGTCCTCCTGCAAATGAAAATCTTATGGAGCTTTTGATAATGATTGATGCATGTCGGAGGGCATCGGCCAAAAATATTACTGCAGTTATTCCGTATTTTGGATATGCAAGGGCTGATCGAAAGGTAACTGTGTCATAAGTGGAGTGTGACAAACCCACATTGGGTAAATCTGTTTGGTGATTGAAGCTTATGCATGTATTATAATAAGGATTAGAGAAGCTTCTTTTTAGTATAACTACAAATTGAATAGGACAAAAGTTGGGGCAATAAAATGCATTCCTCAAAAATAAGTCATGCCTTATAGATAACTCCTATTTTTCTTGACCTGGGTGCTGACCTTTTATTTTTATGGTAGTTTGGGCATTGTGTCTGTTTTTCAATTGCCATTTGCTGCAAAATCTAGTTATGTTGACACCACACCTTACAGTTATATCCTTCTTACTCTACAAAATGAGTTTGATTACATTCATTACCTCTATCTACCGTTGTTTCAGACACAAGGGCGTGAATCAATTGCGGCCAAACTTGTAGCAAATTTGATTACTGAAGCAGGTGCAGATCGTGTTCTTGCTTGTGATCTTCATTCTGGGCAGTCCATGGGCTATTTTGATATTCCAGTGGATCATGTACATGGTCAGGTAATAAGATCTTCCGAGGATTGGTCCTATGATAATCTCAAACACTATCATGGCATTTGCCATGGATATGTGGTCTGCTATGAACACCTGAAAGAATTTGAAATGAAATTAGTTTGGCATTGCTATGGAAGCACAATTGATGTTTCTTATACTCAGTTGTAACTGGATTCATTATTAACCTTCTACCACTAATTTATGTGAATATGGTTTGGTTCATTAATTTTTCCTTTGATTGTTTTTGCACAACTAGCCTGTCATACTTGATTACCTTGCCAGCAAGACCATCTGCTCTGATGATTTGGTAGTAGTGTCACCAGATGTTGGAGGGGTTGCTAGAGCACGAGCTTTTGCCAAGAAGTTGTCTGATGCACCTCTAGCCATTGTGGATAAAAGGAGACATGGACACAATGTTGCAGAGGTAAGGTCTTCTGAAGCATTTGGTTCCATTGCCTAGTTGCTCGTCATGTTTCATAATTGTTTGGCACAGTTTTAGTGGAAGAGTTCTGGTTTCTGTTTCTAATCATGTTTTGAAGCTACGTATAAGTTTGTTTTTAATTGTTTTATGTTACATTATTTACTCTTTATGATATGACTTTTTCCCATTATGTCCTCCACCTTTATTTTCCCTAATCTAGTGTTGACCCAAGAGGCATATCATATATTTAAAACTAATCCATGGCTAGGAAGGATTAAAATATACTGTTTCTTTGGATTGTCCTCATATATTTGGTATAAAATTGTGGACTGTTTCATAACTACGAGAACTTTGGATACATATGACCTAGCCTCATAATCACCCTCACAATCCATTTGAAGGGGCTGGTACAGCTCTTTGTATCTGTTCTGTTGATGGTAGTAATGTTTTGTTGATGTGTACTATATAACTTGAGCGAAAAGAAACATTTCTGACTTAAAATTAGCTTCCAAGAGACAACATATTTGAATATTGCTGTTAAACTTCACTTTCCTTTACATAAAAGTGTTCATGGTGGTTTTGATTTGGGGGTATATTTATCATTCAAGGCAGTTTATTAGTCAAATGAAGCTAACAAGGTTTGTGACTTGTATTTGTATGTAATGTATTGGAGAGCTTGAGAGAAATTAACACACACCACCTTTTTAAGTGATTTGTAATGCTTTCCTATGACTTCTGATTATCTAAAAAGCCAAGGTGATTGGTGAAGCCTTCTTCCCTCTTTTTCTCATTCCTTCATTCTTTTCTCAACTTTCAAGTTCTCATAATATTTTTTTGGGGCTGGTTTGAATCCTAATAAATGATCGGGCTAAATGTCGCTGCATTTTATTATTTATGTAGAAATCAGCACTGAAATTGTTTGAAGAAATCTTTTCCTCGAAAAAATTCTGATGCAGAGCTCAAGATCCTCAACCAATTTCGGGAAATTAATGGCTTGATTAAAGCACAGGAAAACATAAAATCCTCCAGATTTCTACTAGCCACCGATTTTCTGGTTTCCAAAACAGCTCCTTAGAAATATAAGTTGCAAATTTAGCCCTTAGTTCATAGTCTAGAACCCTGTCAAATCATTATGGATATGTTTCCTCAATCTAGTCCTAGCTTGACACGATGATGCTGATTTAGAAGACGCCCTACATTATAGGTTAATTTTTGTGGAAGTTGGTGCTTCATGTGTCTAGGATGATTGTAAGTGTAAACTAGTTTATTTTTCTATGACATTGTTAAATAGTTGGAAGATACATAACTTATCAGATGCTTGGGTCTTCGTGGAATGTTAAATGGACGGCTGTTTTGAACTACATTTAATTTTGATGTTGTTCTTGATATTATGAGACTCCAAATGAAATCTAGGTGCTCCTATGGCCGAAATTATTTGTTTTATTATCCATGTAACACAGATTTGTGATTGTCATTCTGTTATTTTGCTTTTTTGGGTGATTTATGAGCTTGTGTTAAATATATGGCCAAGGCTACATGGTCATTTCCACCTTCATTGACTATGCTTATTATATTAGTTACCATCGTCAAAGGCTCTGAGCTGTGATGTCTTTTTGCATGTACTGGAAGTAGTGCTATTTTTTTTTTTTTTTTTTTTAAATACCTTATTCAAATGTCCCCTCCCAACCCTCACATGTGCCAGATGTCTTTTTGCAGGTGATGAATTTGATTGGTGATGTTAAGGGAAAAGTGGCTGTTATGCTGGATGACATGATTGATACTGCTGGTAAGTTTTTTCGTATTGGGGTTTGAAGTTGTTATTCTTTTTCTATCTCATTAGCAAATTATTCATCAAAGTTGTAAATGATGCATATATGATGTCTAAATTGGACAACAATGCTAACATGTTGCAATTTGCAAAAGATGTGAAATTTGTGGCCCACATTTCATCCTTTGTTAATTGATCAAAATAATTAACAGTGATCGACACCTTTGATCAGTATTCTGTCACACACACACATATATAATAATAATAATAAAGAAATTTTCATACTTTATTGAGTATGGGTATTATAGTCTTTAATCTTTAGCAGGGATGGGCACATTTTTCTGAGTCCTTATTTATGACGTAGATAAGATCTTAAGAATATGTTTCTGTAATGGACAAAAACTGTTTCAACTTTGTCCCCTCTTTCTTTCTTTTTTTATTTTTTATTGTTCATAATATAGATGTGAGTGATATGCAATTATACATAACCGTGCAAAATGTGGCCAGTTCAGGCATGCGCCTAAGAGGCTTGTGGTGGATGCCTTCTTATAGGCAACATTGACAATGCAAAATTTACTTGTATATTGTGCCTGAGCTTGCATATTTCCAAATGACTTGCTTTGTCCATTGTTAAGTTCGGCTATCAAATTTGAAAATAACCAGATGAGCATGACAAAAAATCAAATTGAAAATAACCAGATGAGCATGTCTTTTGTCATTTTTCCTGGGCTCTTTGCCCTGTCTTTTTGTATGTGGATATTCCAACATGCAATTATCTTGGTTCAGGGAAAAGTTGAGTTTGGTTCAGAGGTTTTGCCTTCATCATTATTTTTCGGCTGCAAATATATTGACATGTTTGCTCGTTCCGTACAATTCTGTTATATTTTATTTTGAATTTAGCCAGTGTCAACAGTTTGGTCTTTGTTGGTTCCGTTGCATATGAACTCATTGGCTAGTGGGTTATAGGTACTATTGCCAAAGGAGCAGCTTTATTACATCAAGAGGGAGCCAGAGAAGTGTATGCTTGCAGCACACATGCCGTCTTTAGGTATATCTTTATTCTCTTTAGCACCAGGTGTTCTATTCATGAGATGGGATATTCTATAATTTGGTTAGTGAAGCTCACAGAGAATCTTGATAAGCTGGAAGTGGAAGCAGTTTACATTTTGATTTCAGAAAAATTGGAGCTACATTTTTAATCATTTTCTATGTTCCACAAGGTTGTGACTAGTGAATTATGAAAATAATATCTCCAATGATTGTGAATATGTATGGTTTCCACTCTCCAGTGAAACGTTGCTGGTTAATTTCTTGAGTTCCTTTTGAACATTCTAGTGAAACTCTTAGGGCAAGACCTTTGTCTGATCAATCCTGGTCCCTTTATGTAAGCCAATTAGGCTTTAATACTTTTATGAATCTTATTCCTGATCTATGAAAAAAACACTAAAATTTGCCTTTAGAAACCACCTAGTCTGTTGCACAAACCTTCGTTCAAGTAGAGGTGTTGGATTTTGCGTAATCCAAGTGATCTCTTTTGTTGTAAACCTGTTAATTGCTTACTTAAAAAAATTTACTTCTACCTTTTTGCAGTCCTCCTGCAATAGAGAGGTTATCAAGTGGGTTGTTTCAGGAGGTGATTATTACAAATACAATCCCTGTGTCAGAGAAGAACTATTTCCCCCAGCTAACGGTCCTGTCTGTGGCAAATCTCCTGGGTGAAACCATATGGCGTGTCCATGATGACTGCTCTGTGAGTTGTGTTTTTTCGAGTAAAGTAGGTTTAATGAAAAGTAAACAGTTAAATCTGTTCATTGTTTCTTGCAGTTGCCCTCATTATTTTCTTTCTTAGTCAGATGTGATGATCAGTCGAAAATGGGATAGCCTCTTTTGTTAAAAGAAAAAATAATTAAATGAGAAACCTTTTACCTAAGGATATAAATAAATCAAATAGAGTTGTACTCCTTTCTCAACAGATTTTTGAAGTTGTCAAGGCTCCACACACTTAGCTAGTCTAGCTTCATTAGTTTCTTCTGTAAGAAGCCTAGTGCTCTATTTTATCTAAATTTTTGGGTTTGGTCCATCTTTCTATTAGCTTATTTCTACATGCAATTATTGCCGAGAAAGGATTCATCTTGATTTTTGCTGATTGTCAGGGTGGCTTTGAGCCTTACTCCAGCTTGGGCATTGATTGATCAACTCCTAGTATTAACATGCCCATCCTGCCTTCCGTTATTGCCATTTGGCTGCCTAGTTGAGAGCAGGATAGCTTATATGATTATAATGTCAAATTTTCACATAGCAACCGAACTGCAGAGCTTTGTATTTCCTTCATTCACACAATTCTATCACCAAACCTGATCTCGTGGTGTGGGATAGAGTTTTGTTTGTGCAAATCTTTAGATGACTATGGCAAATGTATCGGTGGAGTGGGGGGAGTTTACGCTATTCGGATTACAGTAAATGTATCTATCGGTTTAGGTGATTTTCTGGAAGAGCATTTGAGTTTATTGTCTTTCCAGTAGGAATGCATACTACTGGAGCTATGTAGTTTGTAAAGTGAGCTATATGAGGGGCTTTTAGCTTTGTGTTTGTTGTGCAGAGTCCGGTGTTGTTAAATAATACTACTGTTGATACTTATGAGACTTATCTCAAAGCTCTGTGGGCATTCTCCTGTGATATATGAAAGGTTAGCTTGAAGATGAGCCATGAATTTTACACTGCTATAGTTTTGTTGCTTTTGCTGAGTAGTTGCTGCTTCTATCATCACTTTGGAATATGATCATCTGTAAAGGTTGGTGCAGGTAAGAGTTATTTACCACTCTACTGCCTTCTTAAAACTTTATTACCAATTTACGGCTCTTAAAATTATTTACCAAATTATAGTACTTTTTAAAAAATAGAGTCAATAAACAAGCACACTTTTGTTAAAAAAATAGGGTCAAAGATCTGCTTTTAAATAAAAAATGTGGTCGGTAATTACAGTGATTAAAAATGAATAGTGTGTACAGTATTTAATTGTAGTGATTATAGATGAAAGTTAGAAAAACATTTTTCACCTGTTTGCCTACTATATTTTTGTAATTAGATCATGTTTTTTTTATTTAAAAGTTGGTTTGTTGACCCTGTTTTCTAAACAAAATGGGGCTTGTTGGTCCTCTGTTTTTTTTATCAAAATTGGGCTTCTTGAATTCGTTTTTAAAAAGTACTGTAATTTAGTAAATAAATTTGAAAGTGTCGTAGGTAGTAAATAGTAGTTTTCATATTAATGGCACATTTGTGATTTAGGTTTACTCGAGAAGATCACTTGGCGAGTTATTGTATGTGGATTTTGATCTTCTCTAATATATATTTTTTATTAATTTATCTGTCATGAATTTAAATGAGATCCAATGTTTAAGTTTTTACCCTTTAAGAAGTAAAATTAAAGGAATTAATTGTACTAGAAGTCCTCAAAGTATCAGATTTATCTCATTTTGGTCCTTAAAATATTGAATATATTTCTATATAGTTCTTTAAACAAGCATCATGTAGATTGCTAACGATTTTTTATTATATACTTGTCAAGTAATACTTAAATATAAATAAAAAATAATTTTGATAACTTTTAAAAAAAATTTAGATACTCTTGACAAAAAAATGTGTAATATGGATAGTTTTTTTTTACCAAAATTTAGATAGCTCATCATCAAAATTGTGTAATTTAAGCAGCTATTTAACCAAAATTTGAGTAGAAATATAGTAAAGAGTTATTCAAAATATTATTTTTTTTATATTTAAGTATTATGTGACAAGTTTATGATAAAAAATCGTTAGTAATTTGAACACTGTCTGGTTGAAGGACCATATACAAACACTAGTAATTATCCGTGCCTTATTACACGATAGAACACAAAATTCGAGCCCCAAAAAATCAATTTCACTATATTAAAAAAAAAAATTCTTTTCTTAATTTCTTTGGTTACATCATTCAAAATTTATTTTTACCAATTAATTTCTCAAAAATATTGACAATTTTCTCAAAATGCATAATTCGATAAAATTTTCTTAATATATGTATATTATCTTGTATGGATAATATCTAAAATAAAAGTAATGTTAAACTACAAATTAATTAAATATTAAAGGGAGAATTATATCCAGATCCCTTAAAATTTGTCACTTAATCACTTAGACCCCTGATATTAGAAAAATTACACACAGACCCCTTAAAGTTTGTGCGCGCGTATCACTTAGACCCCTACTGTAAATATATTCATTAATAAATTACACTTAGACTCCCTTGAAGTCTGTAGGTATATAATACTTAAATTTTTTAAGTTTAAAATATTATACTTAGATAAAAAATACTCTAATTAAAGACAGAATATCAAATATTTTAAATTTTATAATTAAAATTCTTATTCTATTTTATAATTTATTGAAATAAAGTTAAAAATAAAAATTTAATTATACTATCTATTAGAATAAAACTAAAAAATTAAATAAGGGGTCAAATTGTAATCGACACAATATCTTTTAGTTTTAATTGGGGTAGTTTGATATTTTAATTTGGTCGTTTGAACGACCAAGTTAAATTTGAATAGACAATATAATTGTATATTAATTATGATTTTTTAAGAAAAATTGAATTTTTATTTTTTATTTTATTTCAATAAAAGATAAATAGAATATGAAATTTAATCGTAAAATTTAAAATATTTGATATTTTATCTTTGATTGAAATAGTTTTGGTCTAACTATAACATTTTAAACTTAAGAGATTTAAGTATTATATACCTATAAACTTCAAGGGAGTCTAAGTGTAATTTATTAATGGATATATTTTACAGCAGGGGGTCTAAGTATTACACGTGTACAAACTTTAAGAGGTCTGTGTATAACATTTCAAATTTCAGAGGGTCTGAGTGATTAAGTGACAAACTTCAGGGGGCCTACGTATAATTCTCCAATATTAAATGATTGAACATGTGATAGAAATGAGTGATGTGATGGTTTTGGGGAAAATATGTAAAGAGAATAAAATTCAACTTCCTATATGTTTTATTATATAGATATTCAATACTTTAGGGACCAAAATAATACAATTAAAATATTAGAGACTAAAATGAGATAAACTTTATACTTTTGAAACCTATAGTGTAATTAACCCAAATAAAAAAAGATGAAAATTGAATCTATGTTCTATCGACATGATACATGTTCACTTGTCCCGGTAAGTATTAGCAATTGTAAGAAAAGCTAGTAGAGAACTTTATTTTTATTTTTATTTTTATTTTTATATGAAACGATTGCATTTTGTTGAATCACGAAATTAGCGTATCATCATGGAGGTAGGATTCCAAAAAATCTGGGCACTCCTTTCTCCATGATAACGAACTATTACATTGTAAGGCTGGTTGAAAACTAGAATGCTTCCACCTAGTTGATCAAATTTGGATTTTGGATAAGTTTTGCAAGTTAATTTACCTACCTGTTGCTGCAAAATTTGAGAGCCTAGTCAACATTGGAATCATATTTTAGAAACGTGCTTTTTAAAAAAAAAAGATTAGAGGAAAAGTTGGAGGATTTAACCTGAATAAAGATGGCGTTAGGGTTGGAGTCAAATTAGAGCTCTATATAGAAAAAAAAAATGTCAAATTCCTTTTAGGATAACGAAGTACTATTTTTTCAACTTAATTTGAAAATTTTGAATTTTATATTTATGTTTTAATTACAAAAATGTCATGATATGAAAATTATGAAATTCAAAAACAAATAAAATGAACGTTTCTGTACAAATTTATAGTATAAAATAGGGCAGACTTTAATAAATCTATCTGACGGTCTCAAATAGATTCATCCAACAGCTACTAAAACTATTTATATTGTATTGTGCCTACAAGCACAGGTTACCCCTAGTCAATAATATGACTTGATACTTTAGGATGTTAAGCAAAACTTTATTGTTTAGTTGTGTTTTTTTATGAAATGAATGAGATGTTCGAAAACACAACAATAGACTTGCAACTATAGTATAGAAAAAAAAATCTGATTGTAAATAAAAATTGTAGATAAAAATTGGGTCTGATCGCAAATAAAAATTGAAACCTGTGCGAGGGTAGGGACGAATGTAGCCAAGTGGAGCAAGGCACTAGATTGTGAATCCACCACGCGCGGGTTCAATCCCTGTCGTTCGTCCATCAATAAATGAACTACTTGTTACGGAGACACATGACAACATAGTTGTTATCAGATTTGAATGAGTTTCTCTATAAAGGCGATTCAAAAAAGAAGACCTAAAAAAGAATTGGTTTAAATAATGTCTTAAGTCTAATGGAATATAGAATATCATATATATATTTGGTGGCAGTCTTTCTAGTTAGTTCTATCATTTTAAGATTAACTACTGTTAGTTAAAACTTTATGAAAACAAATGTAATTGATATTGCAATGAAAAAGGAGAAAAACTAGAAGAAAGTATATGATTGATATAGACTCAAACTAACTTGGATTAAATTATCAAAAGTATTATTTAATTGTCCTAAAAATTGTTGGAAAAAATGGTTTTGACAAAGTGTAATTAAGAAACTTTGAGCTTGTATTAAAGTGGGACCCAATTCTTGAAATTTGTGGGACTAAGTTTAAACGCATTGTCATTCGCGAGGAGATTAATGTGATATATTTATTTGTCTAAAATCATTAAGATTTGAATGAGTAATTATGTTTCAAAGTGATCTACTTGAATTGATGGAATAAGCTAAGATTGGTGTAGTGTGGAATGATTATTTCACAATGGAAGAATGTCAAAAACTTGGTGGGTTGATATACTCCTAGTTTGACATTTGGGTTTGAGCCCCTGGAACTAAGAATGTCAGTGGATCAAAGCGGGGCGGAGGGTATAGTCTTCATCCCCGTGCCCGCTTAAAAAACTTTCATTCATTCCCGATCCACTCCCGTAAACGGGTATAATTTTTATCTCCATCTCCGTCTGTGAGTAAATTTCTATTCCCTGCCCCCGTCCCCGCTTCCCCCCGTACCCGCTCAAGCCCAAGCCTAAGTTCAAACAAATGTAAGTTAGGATTAAACGTTGAATTAAAAGATAAAAAAAAATATTATCAATTACCTTAGAATTGCTGCATAATATTCCTAAAGGGTCATAGGGTAGAATTAACAGCAATTGAGAGAAAATTACATGGAAAATAGTTCTAACCAAAAGAAAAAAAATCGATCAAACAATATCGTCATCCGAGACACTCAATAAGGCTAAACCAAAAAATATTAGAAAAATCACATACATAACTACAATAATTGTATTTTAAAAACGTAAGGGTTTTAAACAGTTTTGTCATGTGTAGATTACATGACACATGGAGACTTACACAGAGAATAGATTAAGAAGAGAGGCAAGTGAATAAGAAGAAAAAAGCATTTGAGACTTACAGAGAGAGTATATATATATATAATGGGTAACGGGGCGGGGATAAGGATAAGTTCATCCCCGACTTCATCCCCACACGGGTTTATACGGGTATCCCCGTATACGTCTATCGTCCAATACATATAGTCTATCTCCAGTCCAAACAGAGCGAATTTGAACGAATACCCATTTTTTTCCGGTCCACTGACATCCCTACTTGGAACACTGCAATTTTGCGAGTGGACGAGCACCTACACAATCTTGGATTACCACATGCATGTCACCCGTTTACCATGACCCGGTCGGC